GGGCAAGCGTGAAATGTAACTAAGCCATGTGTTAATTGAATATTACAATGAAATTGATCGAATCGCCTTCAACAAAAGGCAAAAAGCCAAGTAGTCAATCAATCGAGGGCGCAGCACAGGATTGGTTCCTTGTTTTTTTTTTTTATAGAGTGGGAAATAGTCTGACGATCTGCACCTACAGAGCTATTGGTTGATTCTCGCAGTCATTCTAAACCACAACCCTACCGAACACTTAACATGCAATGCAATACACCCTCGCTAATATCCTTTTCCCCGCGAGCTTCGCGGCAGGTGGCGCGGTGATCCATGACGTTGCTACACAGAAAGCATCACCATAAATCGATTAGTTCGCCAGTAATATATTTCCACACACATTTCCAAAGTTCCGTTTCCAAGCCTGCCCGGCCCGGCGCGTGGGGTGGATGAATAATGGCCTGCTGACGGGTGTCCGTCTCCACTCACGGGTCGGCCGCCGCCTGTTGATTCAGTGTTCAACATTCGGCTGGTTTCACGTGCTCTTTTGGGTCTAACTGAACGAGTAGTTAACTGAATTCCTACTTACAGCTCAGCACCCGCTTCGAAGCGTCGTTCGCCTCCATTATCGGCAACAGATACTGCGTGCTCTATCCTCTTTGCTCCCGTATTTTGGCGTCACGTCGCCAGATATTTTTACATTCCTCTGAATAGGCACCCGTGCTCGCATACATACACCAGACGTAAGCAGAAATTATCGTCCGAATTCAGCCCGACAATAGTTTGTAAACAGTGGTCTATCCGTATTCCGTACAACAGGGAACACGAAGCTTATGTCATTGACTCGTTTGGTCATTTATCGCGTCATCTGACGCTCTGTGCAGAGGTGAACTGAAGCCCGAAGCCCACTGCCCATCCCCCACCGATCCTCTCCGGACACTCCTACCGGTGTTCTGATCAGGTGGGCGCCCCTCCGGCGCCGGTTGCTGTTGTTTGCCGTGCTCAGCTGCAGAGCAGTAGGTAGTCGCTAATCAGGCGGTCATCGTGGAGATTTCTGGCTACTGGCGGGTGCATGGAGCTCCTAGAAGACATTCGTTTGCTGTGCACTGCAGCTTTTTACCATATCGTGGATGATAGTGATGTGGATGATTATGACCATGGTCAGGTTCAGCTATCTCTGTCCGTAGCACATGGCTGTCGGTCGGCCGGCCCGCGGCGCCGGCCCGGTGCGCTGATGTGCTGGCGCGGCGCCAGTTCGTATAGGTAGCGGGCAGCGGCAGCCCTGCGGCGCTCCGGCGTGGTCGGATGCCCTCACGCTGACCGCGCCGCAGTTACTATGCAGGGTTTTGCACTGTAGTACGTTGCACGTGCGGACGCCACGCTACCTTGCTATAAAAAGCTATATGCTTTGAAGCTTGATGCAAATAAAAAAACAAACTGACCGAGTATCTGCCTTCATCACACCGTACTAGGCTGAAGGATCACCTGCAGTCTGCACTGTGCACACGCGTAATAAGGTAGATTGAACATTCCTATTTTTACATGCGCAGTTTTAATCGTCATGACATAATTTTAATGAATTCTTCTCAAAATTCGCGATCCGTTCAATCAGCCAAAATAACCTGAAATAATGGGCGTAAACCCCACTCATCATCCCGTACGTGAGTCCCTCGGCGGAGCGCACCCGGCACTTTCCCTCATGCAACTGGAGCGCTCGTTCTGTCAGTCCGGTGTCCGGTGTCGGTCCGTTGCCGCGGGGTGCGGAGGCGGTCGGTCGTCTGTGCTCGTCTTTCCTGCTCCGACGCTTCTCACCGTTCGGCGCGGGTCGGCAGCGGAAATTCCGCGTCTGGTCTCCATGAGCCCGTCGAGATATAACCGGTACAGACGCTGGGGGGGGGGGGGTCTCAGCTGCAGCGTCGGGCGGCATTTGTCCGAAATTCGACTCGTCATCATCTACCATGAGCGTTGTCGGTGTGGGGGCATGGTGATGTGGAAATGCTCCGGTGCATTTGCGTTTGTTGCTCAGATCAGATTATGACTGCCCGCTGTCAGTTTATGTGAATAATTGTCCCTGGTCATGCAGAGTGATATCAGAATTGTGCCGTTTTAGCTCCACAATGGACTGAGTAATTTGTGTTCTGGCTCGGGTACATGTCTATTTTTGAAAAATTGGTTGTTACTAACCACCCCACCCGGTGATTGTGAGGACCGGTGGTCAGCCCGCCGGTAAACGCATATCGATCTGCTCGGTGCCGTGCCCGGTGTTCGCCGGCCCCGTTTCTCTGACATACCTACTGGCCCTGTCCGGTGTGGCTGGAGGGCTGGGCTGGGCGGCACACCTCACCACCGTGGGACGCCTCCCGGCCGCCGGAGCCGCCGACGACGCCTTTCCGCACCACCTGTAGACGCGCCACCCTCCCTCCCCAGGGAGACCGTGCGTCGCCGCGACCCGTCCGTCAGTGCCCCCACCTTACGCAGTCGGGTCGCGTGTCACGCACTGGCCGGCGCTCGTCCCAGTGCGGCCGCGGTGGCCGCATTGATCGCGCTATCTTGAGGCCATCTCGGCACGGCGGTCAGCGCCGCGTTTTTGTCCTCTCGCCACCTGCATCTCTTGGCTGCAGGAAGAAGGCAGCGCCTCTAACCTCGACGCCTCTGGCGATCAATTACGGCCCGTTTTCCGGGTATTGGAGCGGTTACGAGCGTGTTCGGACGCTGCCGCCCGGGGCGGTTTGCTGCGGCGGCGGTGTCGAGGCGGGCGGAATACCGGTAATCGGCTGATGCACGCTCCGGCGCTGCGAAAACAGCAGGAGAGAACGCTCCGGGAGCGATCCGAGGGACGGCGGCTGATCGGGTGCTGCTCACGACCCAGGGTGTTGTGCAGCTCCGTGTGGGGCCTGCTTCTAGTAGGGTCAGCAAAAGGTGTCTTGTGATAGAGGGAAATGGACACATCTAGCGGCTTAACGTCGTCGAACTGAGATGTGGGGCTCAAACTTCAGACGGGAGTTTGTGAGATCGTTAACCTTTAGGTAACGTCAGCTCACTGCCAACGCACAACGGAAGTGAAACAAGGTGCTCAGAAACAGCTAAATACCTATTCAATTATTCATGAAAAGTAGAACAAAGTCTTGGAACAGCTTAATTTTTATGAAGTCACGACCGGAAAAGCCCCGGCCTCATACATAGATTTTCCACATTCTCTCCCACACACTGGATAGTGAATCGTTTGAATTCCGGTTTAAACTGGTTGATGCGGATCGCTCCGGCTCAGTCCGGTGCGGTGAGAAGTGAGTACCGAGTACCGATCCCAGTGAGGGGGTGACACCCGACCTCAGCGACGTCGGGACACTCAATGGGCGACGATCAACTTGACCTGATGGCAATCGGCCACTCGAGACTAGCTCCCAGACAATGATTGAACACCGCTGGCGGTCTGTCTGCAATCAGTCTGCTGTTGAGAAGATGGGCAGCGTGGTTGGCTTCATTAATTCTTCGAATCATTAACGATATCTTCCGATTGATTATCAATGTCTTGCTTTGAAGTTGACGCCAGTTTAGTTTGAAAACAGCTGTCTAAATTGATGAGTGGAGGAAGCCAATAGGCCTGCACGATCCGCCAGCAACAGTTTCTTCAGGCTGTCTCATGGTTTTGAAGCGTATGACCTCGGTCGCAAAGCGCGTGTCTCGAAGAAAATCCCTTTGCAGTGACTACTGCGGGTGTCATTACACGACCGTATCGTGGATACGTCCAGCGTGAGTCGTTAGGACGACCTGAGCTGCCACACAGTTCACCCTCCTTTGTGCGTTAGCTCGATGCTTCACTGAGCCCCGTTGGGGATTGGGGAAGTGCGACTGGATCCCCTGAGCCGTTTAAAGGAAATAGTTCACTTTCACGAAATTATTTTTTTTGCAACGATTTATTATTTTTTATGTTCAAAATAATCAGGAAAGAAAATAAAACCTTTTTATAACAAAAGATTTTTTTTCTATATTTTGATATAGGAAGAACTTTTCAGTTTCTGTAAGGCACAGCGATCCAGTATGAAAAGAGCATGGGTCCCGAAAATTCTTCAGAAACAGAGAAATTATCGCAGCCACCGGCATTTGGGCGATCTGCTCGATCTGATAATGTTCCCCTATGTCCTAATTGATCAGTACGAGAATTTCTCTAGAGTTCTCGTAGATAATTTCTCTAGTTTCTGAAGAATTTTCGGGACCCATGCTCTTTTCATACTGGATGGAAATATATGCAAGGCACACATCCTCAACGGAAGACACCTTTTTCGGGACGAGAAATAGAATATCTTTGCCTAGGGTGATCGTTGGGCTGTAAAAGCTCCTGATTTATGCTCGTCTCAGCCCAAGCTACGGAACTGCTATTCCAGTTCAAAACCCATGTTAAAAAGTGAACTATTTCCTTTAACGGACCGGTCGTCCCCACGTGCCGGCGTAATATACTCCCCGGACCACAACCGGGCTGGCACGTGCGCTCTGGTCACCCTCTCAGCCACACGCACCGAAGTCACGAGCTGCGCCGGCCGCCTGGACCGGCTCCGGACGCTAAGCCTTCCGGTCTGCCGCTTCTCTCTTCGATACCGTTTCAGATCAGGCTGCGGTATTATGGGAAGGTACCGAGAGATCGCGTTTGGATAGACACGGGTACATACGCAACGGACCGGATATCAATGTGGCCTGCTCAGTGATTAATGATTAATGATCAGTGATTAATGATCAGTTTCTCGGCACGGTGTACATTTATGTTCGAAACGCACCGCACTCTATTTATGCATTTATACTTTATGTGATACGGTACACTTACGCACGCACACGGTCAACCCTACCGGCGCATATTTTCACACCCAATGCGGTGTTTTCCAGCAGTCTTACGCCTGTTCTAAGCAGCCCTCACCTGTTTTTACCGGCCTTAACCTGTTTTTGCCGACCCGCACCAGTGCAGTCCTTACCTGCCCTCCCCGCCCTGCGCCGCCTTCCGCCTTCCTGACCAAATGTGTTGATGCGTATGTTTCCAGGACGACCGCGGCCGGCTGATCCGCCGAACCATCATGCGTTACGTCAACCTGTCGTTCGTCTACACCATGTCCCAGGTGTGCACGCGCGTCAAGAAGCGGTTCCCCACGCTGGACCACCTGGTGGAGGCCGGTGAGTGCTAGGGGGAGGGGGGGGGGGCAGAGAGGGCTCAGGTGACACGCCGGGATATCGAGCGCCGTGATAGCGATAGCTCGCGAGGGGTGCTCGGCGCCAGAAGCTGACGGTAATCGGTGATTAAGTTGCAGAATGCAGAGTTTTGGCGAGTTCGGCGGCGTGGGAGTCTTGCGGTTTTGGTGCGTTGATGGGCTCGTTATGGAATCAGAGTGTATAACGACGATCGGTGAATAATTGAATATATCAGTAAAGCGCAGCGCCTGTCTTCGTTTCTTGTCGCCTTGTTTCTTTTCGTGTTTGTGGTGTAATGTTAACATTGAATTAGGCCATATTTTTAGCGTTAAATTCCGCAGTCGGTCACCTGCAAACCTCGCCGCTCCCCATCGGTGTCCCCTTGTAATTCGAAGTTCGAACTCTAACCGCTGCCTCCTCAGGTATAATGACCGACACCGAGAAGAAGATATTCGAGCTGATGAACAAGAAGACGCCGCACCTCAAGTACTGGATGCCGCTGGTCTGGGCCGGCAGTATCGTGACCAAGGCGCGCAAGGAGGGCCGCATCCGGGACGACTTTGCGGTCAAGACGCTGGTCGACTCGATCAACACGTTCCGATCGGGACTGGGCAGCGTGCTAAACTACGACTGGATCTCTGTACCCCTCGTGTACACTCAGGTCAGGACGGAGGGGGCGGGAGAGGTGGGGTGGGGGTGGGGGAGCGCGGGAGGGTAAGAAGAGGTCGGGAGGACAACTTGACCGCTAGCCTACTTTTATCGAATACCTATATCCAAACGATGATCGCGAGATGAAACAGGCAAATGACGGCCATAAAAGCAATGCCGATATATCGACTTGCCATTAGACATTCTTTCGGAAAAAAATACATCATTTCTCAAGCTGCCAGTTGTTAACGGCGTAATTCACATTTCTCTATCTTTTCAAGCTTGATGGGCAGTCTGATCCTCTGAAATTTCAACGTTTTATCCAGATGCATCCATCTGTAAATTGAGGCATGGCCGGGACTAGAGTCCACGTTACAATTTCAGCTCCACTTCATCTGCTGATCTGCAGCCCACTTAGTACCCGTTTAAATCACGTTCAAGTGCCGTTCCGATAAAGCAGTGCAATATGCTGCAGCCCCATCAGCGTGATGGCTCCCTCGCCCTCAGACGGCTGAACAGTTGTGGTAGATTGTAACTGTTCAACAGGTGACCGTCGGGATAAGTTAGTGTCGGATAGCGCTTTGATCCAGCGTCGTTTGTAGCTGGGCGTGCAGTTGCTGTCTATCTGTTACAGTACGTTTTTCGTTTGAAAAGGTTCAAGCGTTCCGTCCCCCGAATTTTTAGATCTCGTCTATTCACTCATCATGTCTATCGCGTTCCGGCCATTGCTCAGGCTATATAATCTATGTAATTGGCTTTGTAGCTGCTCTGAACGATTTTCCCCCTGATTATTCCGTGTCAGCGGCGGGCTGTTTTCGCTGGCCGCTGTCTCCTTGACGACGGCTCATCATGCGGGCTCACGCCGCGCGGACAGCAGCTTTCGCTTCACTCTCGCTCTGTAACCATCACGTGTGATGCTGCCCCCGAGGCATGGTAGTCCATCAATGTGATACAGACTGTTATCCCGACGCCAGGCGCCATCGCTTCCCGGCGTAAAACACGAGATCAACCGTCATTGCTATTCCCTTCCGTCGACTGCAGGTGCGCTGCATGCGTGCCCGGCCGAACCGAGGCACCGATAGGGCGGGTTAGCGGTGTGCGTGCCGAGGTCGGCCGACCCTGACCCGAGGCCGGCACCGATTTATGACCGCGCTCTGCCGAGCCGGAAACAAAACAAACACCCATCGCGCCCGGAGTGCGCCGCAAGTGTTCTCCGTCCTTGCGCCAGCTACCCGAGCTATACGTTTGCGTCTGCCTCACTTCCAGCTGAGATGCAGACTGAGATGCCTTCCGCTTCAATAAGTTCTTTGTGGAAGGTCATACCGAGGGTCACGGTGCATGTAACTACCCACCGTCGCCGCAGCCTGACTACCGGCGGTTTTCGCAGGTCTCTCTCTCTCTCTCTCTCTCTCTCTCTCTCTCTCTCTCTCTCTCTCTCTCTCTCTCTCTCTCTCTCTCTCTCTCTCTCTCTCTCTCTCTCTCTCTCTCTCTCTCTCTCTCTCTCTCTCTCTCTCTCTCTCTCTCGCCTTTGCTCACCCGTGCTGCGTCGCTCAATAAAAGCTGCTCTGGACGGCCGATGCGAGTAACATGTCACATTTTCTGTAGTTCTATGTAGTTCTTCCAACTGGATGGCGGAACATCAGCTGCGCTGAAAAATTGATGCGACCGCCTTGGTTGGAGCGCAGTTCTCTGTACGAAGCAGGCGTTCATCGTAGCTCATCATTGATGTCACGAGCCGTAAATTCAGGATTTCGGCGACGATCAGCGAACCCTCCAACCTTTTCCGACAAAAAGAAAAATTAGAATACGTATCGACACCAGATATGCCGCAGGCTAATTCAGGAAGGTCACCTCAGTCGGACATCCAACATTATGTAATGTATAACGATATGCACTATTGTTTCGTGGCTCGTAGTACCATCGTCGGATCCGTGGCACGTTTCCGTAAATGTTGTTAGCGCGTACCTGTCACGGCCGCAGTTGCCCATTTAGCCGTGCGTGCGTGCGTGCCGCCCCTCCCTCTGCTAACTTGTCTCGGGGGAGGGGGACGGATGGGACAACATACGTGTAGTCGCGGCGCCGCACGATGTCCGGCCTACTAACTGATTGGGGAAGGGAGAGTTACCACAAGTCTGACTCGAGCGGTCAGTATCGGTAAGGGCATCAGGACTCGTATCTCGACGGAAGCAACAAAGATCTCAACAAGAGGCTTTTATTGTATAGCTACTTTTTGTTTTCTTTCGAGTGCAATCTGTTGGAAATTCGTTAGCTGGATCTCCAATTTGAGCAATTTTAGAAGTCATCGGTTGATTTTAGGCACCCATTTAATTTCGTTTGTTGATTAGCAACAGACTATTTCATCCGGTCAGCGGTGGCCAAACTGACCTTCAAGATAGGGTCATCTCGGCCCTGGCGACTGACGGTCGAAAGGATCTCCAAGGGACCAATCGACCTCTCCGTGATGACTTACACCGTTCCTAACGACCTTTTCTGACGAGCTGATAGCATCTGCCGGACCCGTTCAGCCAAGCCTCCAAACAATAAACCCTCCTGCCGGTCTGTGCTGAGGACTGAGGTCTGTCCTGAGCCGGTAGCGGTTTGCAGCCGCTAGGTCTGCCTCTGCCTCTGCCGGTGCCCGCCGTGCCGGACGACGGATCACGCCCCTCCGGATTCATGCGAGTCACGTCCATCTGCAGTTGTTCGGTGCCCCCGGTTATGTCTCTACTCGACGACCAGTCGACTAGCGGACCGTTTTATTCTGGAGCAGGGATGATTGGTGATTCTGACGATTCTGATTCAGACGACGATGATGTCGTTCGTTTATCAAAGACCGACGCACTACGCCGTGTTAGGTATAGCTACCAAGGCAGGCGTTTATTTTAATGAAGCACTCAGGATTTCAGCATCCATTGAGTGCCCGAAAATATACTTCGCCAGACTTTGCTATCATTGTAAACGGCTCCATGTCCTAGTCCCTCCCTGATTTGGGTCGAACCAGGGGATCGACCACGCCTTGGGCTATGCACGTGTCATGAGCGCTTGGCGTCGCGGCCGGGCGACTGCAGCCCTAACGTCGCCATCGCTTGCCAGGCGGGCGCTGCCGGTCAGTCTGCACAACTGCAGTCGATCTGCGCCTACTCATCGGCCGCTGAGGGCTGGGGGAGCGTGCTACCTCACCAGGGGAGGGGGACGCGACCGGTGCCATGGCGGCTGGCGACGCGCCGAGAGAGAGACCAACCGACGGAGGACGGTCGGGATGACTCGGCCCGGCGACTGCCAGCGCGGCACGAGGTGGGGCGCGCCCCCATACCGCGCCCCCGCTGACCCCGCAGCCGCGTCCCGCCCCCATACCGCTCACCTGATGACCCCTCCCCCGGCCTACCCCATACCGCGCACCCGCTGACCCCCACCCCCGCCCCTCCTGCTATGACACAGAAGAGGGGGTGTTGACAATCGGAACAGCCTGCTGCTCGTAATCCGACGAGATCGGTAATTGGATGCGCTGTTGATAGAGCAGGCGCGTGCCGAGAACGTCCTTAGAGACGGGCGGCCGGAATGGTGCGTTTCTGCGCGGGTCTGGACGGGAGCAGACCGCGGGACGGGCGGGGGACCATTTGGTGACCGGATGTCCGCCTGCTGACCTGGTCAATCGTGACGTCACCGGTGTTGTGTAACGTCATTAGGTATCTCTCCCTGCAGCAGGTGACCGTACGGATGTCGACGGATGGGTGTTGTTTTTGGACCCTGCTGAGAGCGGGCGGAAGAGCGAATGCGGGGGAGTTTTCAGCAGCTGGTTGTAATTGATGTGACAGGACTTGGCTCAGAGGGCTCAGTGAGGCAGTGTTTCGGATCTAAGTCGATGTGGCTGTGAGCGGAGATAGACAGTGATCCAGAAGATCGGAGACGTCAGACGGTCGATCGATGACCCTGAACTTGCAGCAGTCCATCGGTAGCTCGTCAGTCCACTGCCAGGAACCCGACGTCTGTCTGCGATTCAACAGCAGACTGATGACGTGCCGGGCTCAAAACCTGTCATCGGGCGTTTTTTATCATGCTGGATATCGTTCCTCACATGTTGCAGGGATTTATTGCATGCTGGATTATATGACCGGGCGATTTCTGCACGTTGGGCGGTTCACACCGGCCAGGGGAGCCGGTTGCGGCCGGCGGACAGTGTTCAGTGGAAGACGCCGTGTCTGGATCGCGGCGTATGAGGACCTGTTGCGGCGCCGGGCCGGCGTCTGTCGGTCCGCCGCTCCCGGCGGCGGCAGCGCTGGATTTTCCTCGGCTGTCGGCCGAAACTGACGGAACGGCCGGATAACCGGCGGCGCAGAAATGAACGGACTCTCTGACCCGGCACAGCTGGGGCGTCAGAGAGAAGGGAGGCACGTCAGGCTCGCACTTCCGCAGAGTGACGTCTCGTGATTATAAGAATTGTAAAAGATTATAGGAAAGTAGAAAGAAAAGTTTGAAGAGATTCGTCAGAAGTTTGTACTGAATTCTCTTCTTGCTTTGGATCATCTAATGCAGCAGTTCTAATAAGTCATGGATTGCGCACCCCTAAAAAGCGTTCGAACTATGATTTGTGCATTTGGTTTGCCATTAACTTCACTGAATTTAATTCAGCATGGCTTTAATTTTCCGTAATTCACATGCCACTGTCACATTTCCATGTGCAGGGAAGTTACTAGTGACTAGTTTCATGACAAAGCACCATTTCACAGGCCAATAATAACTGATAACCCATGACAAGGTACCGTTTCGACCTCTAACTCGAGACTCATTCATAATTCCACTTTGAGCGCGCCAGCGTGTTTGATCTCTCCTGTGCCTGGGCCCTGCCGATTGATATGGTGATTTCTGCCGTCACAGCTAAGAGACGGTTAAATTTATACAGTTCACTCAGCTTGCGACGAAATCGAGTTATGTGTTTGATGGCTGTGATCAATGCGGCATCGCCGTTATGGTTTCTGATAAATGGCTCGAAGTGCTTAGATAAGCAGCCGAAGCACCCTTACGTGTAGCCGATAGTTACTGCTATCCCAACCAATCTGTGACCTAACATCGGACCTGGTAATTGACATTATATTCTAACTGATCCGGTGAGTGACCCAGTATCTGCCCGATTTGCCCTGACATCTGACCTGGTAACTAGCCGAACATCGTATCTGACTCCTGACCTGACTTGTACTCGCTGACCTGACCCGATATCTGACCTCCGCCCCGCTCCCCCGGCCGACAGACGGTGACGCTGGCCGTCTACACATTCTTCATCGCCGAGCTGATGGGACGCCAGTTCGTCAAAGGAAACGAGCCCGACCATGAGACCATCGACCTGTACGTGCCCATCTTCACCTTCCTACAGGTCAGTACACTGTGTGATGCCGGGCCGGTGGACGCAGACGTCTGTGTCGGATCGTAGTGTGGCGTTTGATGATGTGGTATTGAAGACTTATGCTATCCATCAGTTATTAGAGCGCCACACTGGGCGTGTGAATCGAAAAGGTGGGTATTGTTCTGCTGTTTTTTTATGAAAAACAAACAAACATGGTGTCGTATGAAGGCCAGTCTGCCCTGGACGTTTATTTATTTTTGAAACGAGAAACCGACTTGTGGACGTGTGCCTTACCTCATTCATATTTCGTCGCTTTCCATGTGTGACAAGTCTGATCTTTCCATCCGGCAAGTTTGACGTGTCAGTCTCATTTGACCATGTCTTGGCAATGTCCCGCTGTAATTTTTTATGTTATGGCAGCCATCCTGAGCTCTGGGATTTCTCGCCACAATGCCACTGAGCTGGTTTTGAATTTTTGATATTACCAGTTCCCGAGAACCTGTCGGAATGCTGGTCGACTGACTGCTGACATATGTTTTAGTTCAGACTAACCAGGCGCTGGTCGGACCTTTCTGTATGTAACTAGACTTTCTAACCAGCCCTTAGGGGATCAGAAAATGTTACTCTAGCTGTCGTCTAAGGGAATCTGAGTTCGTCTGACCGGCCCCAGGAGCAGTGCCGCCTGTCTGCAGCTGATCACCGAGCGCCCTTTTCTGTCTGGTTTTACAGTTCTTTTTCTACATGGGCTGGCTCCGAGTCGCCGAAACTCTTTTCAACCCTTTCGGCGACGATGATGACGATTTCGAGATCAACTGGATGATCGACCGTAACCTGCAGGTAAGTCTCGCGGGTGTCGCAGTGACTCGCTCGAACCGACCTGTCTCCGGGATCCGTGCCCAGACAGAGGTGAATCAAGCTCACGGAAGCCGCACCATACGTCCCGTTCTTCCTGTTTGGTCCGTCATGTGTTTCTGAGAGCCACGTCTGTCGTGTAACGAGCTTATGGATACGACTTATGATGTCACTGTTATATTTTCCGTGACTAGACGAGTAGGGATTCAGGTCTTCCCGAACAAGTGATATCCAGTTTGTTTCGTCAGATTTTGGGAACAATCAGGCGCGTGCATGTCTTACTCTTCGTTACCTGGTAACCGTGCAATTTTACTGCCGTTCACGATTCACCGTACATTGAACACATTCAGTAACCGTCGTTAGTTAGGACATTTAGGGGCTACTCAGCTAATGAAGTAGATGCATTACGAGCTGCTGCCGATAGTTTGGGAGGAAATTGGAGTACTCAGCCGTCCAATTTGGTTCGATCTCGCTCCTTCGAATGCTCCATTAGCCTGTACGGACGCCTCCGTGTGGCCGAATATATCCTCAAATTGCGCCTAGCGACCTGCACCGTATCTTTTTGCACGCGGGGATAAGGAATCAAACCGGTATTGCGCATTGATTTTGGTGGATATATCTGGATTGTACCAGTTTGGCGGTGTAGTGTGGTCCCCGCTCGTTATTGTTCATCACGCATCGCTGCATCTCATTACTGCTCTCGTCTTGGAACGCAAATGAGACGGCATGTTCCGTTATCGCTGTAAAAATATCATTGAGTCTGATTATCGGCAACACCAGTCACCAACTCATGCAATAATATTACCAATCTATTTATCCCATGGACTAGGTGCTGACATGCCGCTCACGTTCTTTCAAGTAAGCAGGGAGTGAGAAGCCCGGCAACCGAATCCCTTTAGTCACCCACCCTCATCGTCTGTTAGTCGTTCACTCGTATCACCCGCGTCCTCCTCGTCTCACCCACCCGTCACCGTCGCCAGGTATCGTACATCATCGTTGACGAGATGCACGAGGACCATCCGGAGCTGGTACGCGATCAGTACTGGGAGGACGTGATCCCCGCCGACCTGCCGTACACGGTGGCCGCCGAACAGTACCGGCGCGAGCCGCCGCAGGGCAGCGCCGCGCAGATCGACGTGAGTACCGCATGTATCGTGACCCGTCTACTTCAGCTGGGACATCTTCTCTGGGTGTTGCTACAAATGGGAGACACTAGGGTTACCCGCGTGCTCCGCAACGCGAAGAAGGGTTATTTTTGACCCGTGGGTATTGGGTTGGTCTGTGTCGATTTGGTTGGTATCCATGTCGTTCGATTGCTTTTTGACGGCCAAGCATTTTGTAATAAAACCAAAAAAGATACATCGCATCGAGGTGCCCGTGTCGTATTATCATGCGTTCTACTTTAGAATGATTCGAAAACTGGTGTGAAGTCTTTTGATGGCCATCGATGAATTTCGCTAAAAATGACAATGCTATGGTTTGGAACATTTACATCTTTAAGAATACTGCTGCTCATCATGCAAAAATGAAGAGTGAATATTGGACAGAATTAAATGCTCTATCCAATGGTACCATATTCAAATGCCAAAGGTATCAGGTTATGCAGCAAAACGCGTGTAATTAATAAAGTGGCACATCATTGACAAACACAATTTTCTCCCGAGATTTGTACCACCTTGAATTGGAGTAATCAGCTTTTCACAATTTTCTCATGAGAGGCGGTACATTTTTATTGCTAATAGGCGTTCTTTCGGCTCGCTCCGTCTGACGGTCACCTGAAAATAATATAAATTCCAAAATCCGTCCAAAACGTCAATTTTCCACATAAAAGTGCCCTCCCCGGTGCACGTGGCGCGTGCCATCCCCTGCACCGCACACCATTCGATAGCCCGTTCAATTATCTACACGATGCTGTTTTCCCCGTGCCGATCGGACCCCTGGTCGCCAAGATATGGCACCGGGACCGGAGCCGTGTCGGCCAAATTTAGCCGTTTTCGCCCGATTTCGCACGCCGATTTATACATGTAAAGTCTATGACGCGAATTTGCACTTTTTGAGCACGCGCCACGCGCCCCCTATCAATCCGATCGAGCCCAGACCCCCCAAAAGCACGTCGCGCATCCTTGATCTATAAGTTGTGCAAATTTCAGGGCGCTAGGTGCAACGGTCTGGCCTGTAGTCCACGCAAAGCACCACCAAGTCGGGACCTCGGTAACGGACAGACGCACCCTCCTCAAATAGTAATATAGATTCAATTTTAACACGATCGGCTTCTTTGGAGAAAGTATTATGCAGTTTTTCGTGCCAGTTAAGTCTGTCTGTCAGCTGTAACGTCTTGTCTCGTAAGAAACTGACCAATGACCCTGACGGTTTAGTTTGTTATATTTAACGCCAGCCCTGCTCTGTAACTGACTCACCCCGTTGCTGGTCGGTGTGCAGGTCAAGAAGACCGAAATGGTGGTGACGGACGCTCCTCCGACAATCCCGGAGGGGGAGGAGCCCGAGATCCGCACGCTGGTGACGCCCAAAGACGTGGAGGCCGCCCAGGTGGGTTGATGAGAGTGGTGCACCGCAGCGCGCTAGCTAACGGTACAGCCGTACTCGGGTCCGAAGCGGGACCGCTGGGATGGCTCTTCGGGGGCAGCTGGGGTGTTCGTTATGAGCTGATGCTGATTGGGGTTCATACTCGTCACCGTTTTGTTGAAAGCTGTTATGTGTCGATGGGCTACAGAGCTACGGCAGTTAAGATTATCAAATGTGTAGAATACGCATAAATGGTTCTCACTGAATTAAATTAAAGTTAAAACTCTTTGCTGTGAATGTGAGGGACAATGCCTTTCGGTTCGCCGGTCGCAGTCCAGCTCACCGTCCCCGCCTCTCTCCCCGGCAGAGTTCGGTGATTGCCGACTTGCTCCGTCCCCCGCCCACCTCCGCCATGGATATCGGCGGCTCGGGCAGCCCGGGCGCCGGCGGGGACCCGCACGAGCCGCTCTCCCCCACCGTGGTCGGATCGGCCACCACCTCGCTCGAGTCGCGGCTCTCTGGCGCCATGCAGACCGCCTCACTCAAACGCTCCGTGCGGGGGCTGATGAACAAACTCAGCAACCGCGTCAGAGGTGAGTCGACACTGTGAAGGAGCAGGTGGGCTGTTCGGCTGATTTTCAGTCCCGCAATGGGTGACATTTGTGCGGGTCGCTCATGGGTCTTAGCGATTCGTACGGTCTTGGACCATGCCAGTCAGCACCACTTCGTGGCGTTGTTTGATATGTGTGACACTGTGACATTCATTACGCTGTTTGTTACATCACCATGTCGGTGGCTCAGACTTTCCGGTCAGTTCTATCATTGTCGCGTCAGACCGGTGTTGTGCTAGCGCGGGGTAACATTACACCGCCTCGGCGAGAGTTTCCATTGCGTCACACGCCAGCTGACCAGCCTGACGTCCTGGCGTGTCACCCGACACTGTGTGTAATCTGACACGTTCTCTGACACTGTGTCTCATCTGACACGTTCTCTGACACTGTGTCCTGCGTACCCCAGTTTCAGACACCCCGACCAACGTTCTGGTGACGCGGTCTAGCAGTCGTGCCTCGAACGACTCTCGCCGGACCAACCCGCCCCACTCACCACTCATCAGAGGAGAGGTAGGAGACGCCGTGCCGCAGGGGGAGGGGAGGGGCGGGGGATGTCACAGAGGGAGTGAGAGAACCTCAGAGGGCGGGGTGTGTTGGTGGGAGGTGTAAGCTGACGTGTTCCGTTGGAAAGTTGGCGTGTTTGACGCCGGCAGTGTCCGTGCTTATTAACTGACCAATGCGCCGCCCTTTCACTAGTGAAAAGCTAACAAACTTTCGGAGGAAGTGGTGCTATGTCTAAGCAAATTGAGCTCATAACAGTCCGGTAGCGCTTGTGTCAATAATTACGACTGGACGCCGCTGCTGGACGTCATCAGACACCATTTATACATACGTTGTCTATTTATTTGTCTATGCATTTGTTATTCATGCCTGGAAATTAACGGTGCTATTGCACTGAAGCTCTTGTTAACCTACTACCCCTCCCCGTCCCCGTGTGTGTGTTTTTCAGGACGAGATGTTTGTGATGTCGGACCTGGACCTGGCGGCCGGCAGCCGCGGCTCGCTGCCGGCCGACTCTGCCAGCCAGGTGGGCGGCGAGCCGCGCGACCCGCTGCTGGGCCGCACCACCAGCGTGCCCGAGTCGGAGGAGTGCGGCAGCCCGCAGCGGCGCCTGTCGGGCAGCTCCGAGGGCAGCGAGGACCGGCCCGCGCCCAAGTTCCTGCCCGGAGACTACAACTTCATGATCACCACCGTGCCGGAGGAGGAGGAGGAGGAGTCGGTCAGTGGGAGGACGGGAGCAGCGGGAGGACGGGACGGGAGGAATGGAGGAGGGACCGGGGAGTGTCTGAGTGCCGAGTGACTTCTGAATGACTGCCGTGTGTCGGGTCCGCGCAGCCTGTGGGTGCTGGTCAGTGCTTGTGTGATCGAATGTGATGCATTGATTTATTCAGGTGACAGCTGGTGTGGAAACGGGTGCTTCTTGCTTTCTCTGGGCGTTTAAACGCCGGGGTTTCGCCCACGGGGTTTAAACCCCCAGGGCGAAACCCCCCTGTCACGGGGTTTCGCCCACTCCCTACCGTACCCGCTTCATGAAATGCTATTGTGTCATGCAATGACTTCAAGGGTAACCGAGCTTGTGGCAGTGACGGCGATCCAGCATGGCTTTCAAATCACTCCGAGCGCGGCGATGCCGTCCCGGGCCTGTCCCGCTCGCCGGGGCTCCTGCTGACCGGGGTGCGCCGTTCCAGGAGGCAGCCACAGCCGAGCCGCCGCCGCCGCCGCCGCCGCCGCCGCCGCCGCCGGTCGTCCCGTCCGTCCAGCTGGCCAACGTTCTGAGCACCACCTTCCAGCCGCAATGTGTGTAGCACCGGGAGGAGCCGGGCCGGAGCGGCTCGGCCAGCGGCGCCCAGCCGAGTCGAGCCGACTCGCGGGGCCGGGCCTAGCCGGCGCAGCCGCCGCGCGGCTCATTTGCTTTGCATATTTGCTTTGCTTGGGTCATGGAGGTTGGTTGTCCCGAGAGTATCAGATGGACCCTGATGGATGACGTGGCCGATTTTGGAAACGAGGCATTATGTTCTGTTGTTTTGGTTTTGCCCTGAAAACAATCGTCTAACGGCCTTCTTGAGCTTTATCCTTCGTAACCTAACGGTCGGTGTCTGGCCTCCTCTTTGACTTGCTAATTGTATGACCTACTGACCAACTGGTGACGAGACTTACCTTATCAGACGAACCGTACTAATGGCAAACCGTACCATACGACTGTACCGTACCGACCTCACAACGACCCACGTATGTACGACTGCGACTTATTGCATCGAAATAATTTTACCGTATGGACCGTACCAAACGACAATACCAAACGAACTGAACGCGAACCGTACGAATGGACGTTACTAAATGGATCTTACTGAACGGACTTTACCGTAAGAACAGTGCTATATAGACAGCGGCTATTACGAACGACCGTACCGAATGACGTTACCCCCAAAGACCGTACCGTATTACCGTACCATACGGACCCCACCTACGCTCAAACACCCGACTACGACCCAGGCTCCGTGTCCCTCGCCGTCCCGTTGTGTGGCCGTGCTCCGACCTCTGACCTGTTGAACCGCTCGCGCCGGCAGCTGACGAAGCATCTGATGAGCAGTCCGGACAGCAGAGCCTCCTCACACAGCTCATTACTACCATTATAGAGGCGGCCGGGGGCACCGTGCAGCCCAGGTGAGAGCCCCGGGGCTGGGGAGAGGGAGGAGAGAGGGTGCGAGGATGAGAGGATGACCTCATAGCGGCGTGGGGGTGTTGACATGGAGTAGAGTCTTGTAGCGATGGATGGGGAATTGTGCTTAGTTATGATGACGTGTTTGTGCGCGGCAGGGAGAGTGGATATTTTGGTAGAAGATACCCGTACCGAGACCGGGTAAGGGTGCACTGATACCACTGACACCAGACCACCCGTATACAGTTATACCAAACTGTTCTGAGGGCTTGGACTAAGTATTAGCCTAAGTTCAGGTACATATGTATGACCGTGTCGTTTTGGAAAGGCGTTTTACAAGTTTAGTGTCATTTCCAAGCGCGACACGGGACCGGTTATCGTCAAATACCGGGCAGTTTTAGCCCAGTTATTCGGCCGCTGCTGGTCGTCGGTAAAGTGCAACACTGCATTTATGTGCGGCCGAATATTGAGCGCGTGGTCACAGCGTTCCCGCCTGCCTGGCAGCAGCGATGACGGCGGTGGTGCGGACGGGGCGCCGCCGGCCCCGCCGCAGGAGCGGTAAGGCGCCGCCGCCGCGGTCCCGCCGGCCCGGCCGCTCAGGTTCGGGAGGCCGCGGCCGCCGCGCGGGCACAGAGTGATGGCACCGAGCACCGTGCGCCGACCGCCGCCGCGCACCTAGTCTGGCCTCTGGTGATGTCCCGAGCATGGTCCTGTTGCCTGTCAGCTTCAGTGGCTGTGTTCTCGACCTGTGATTGGGTTCATCCGGTCGTGCCTCCTTTCGGTTCTGTTCTGCCATTTGGTGTGTTTGTGTGAGCGTCTTGTGTCTCAGCCTGTGTGAGCATTTCGCGGGAAATACGCAACGCCGAAGCATGCTGAAAACAAAGCCGTACCGTCGACAATCAAACACGGTTTGATTCACTACTTCGCGGCTGCCTTTCGGCCCGCGTCTAAATTTCGTCGTCCTCAGAGACAGCCTCAGCGAATGGCTGCGATCCTTCGCCGTTCGCTCATGGTCGTTAGCTCACCGATGGCTCACCGTTATGCAAGGGTTCCCTCGCCGCGTCATGGGCGCGATCGATTTGGGCTGAGGGGCAGCTGCGACGGTCCTGGTCCTGGCGCCCCCACCTGCCGGCATATATTGATCGCCGCCGGATTGTTCCGCTCATGGACGGAGCATTCTAGACTGTTTGATGTGGCGCGAGGGAGTTGGACAACAGAAAGACAAACAAGCTAGAAGTGTTCCAAAGAACATTTAATTTTCCCACTATGTGACAATAACCTTGAATGCATTAAAGTGCACCGTCAAAACGATACAACACAGTGAACGCCAACCGAACACGAGATGAACGGGATGATATTTCTTCGAGAATATCATGGTTTTGAAATAGTGACCATTTATCAAAATTTAACGCAAAAGAATATCGAGAAAATATTTTGGCATATCTAGGAATGTCTACAATTTTAAAAGACGTGTCAGTAAATGTTATGCGCCTAAAGACTAGAGGTGTCAATTTCAGAAAACGTATGTCCAAAGTCCGTCCAATGTCCAATGCTTACGTCGACTGTCCGTCCAAAAATGTCCAAGCCAGCCATTTGTCCAAAGATGTCCGACACCTACGCAATAGGTAACACTCAACACTGTTATTTAATTTGCTTTTCATGTACCATTACCACTTACCAGCTCAAAAGTGTTAATCATATTGAAAGCTGAGATTTCTAATAGCCAATCAATGTTAAACACAATTACTTTTTAAAAATGTTTAGGTGTAGCAAGCGATTGTCCAAAGTTGTCCAAAGCCTGCTGCCATTGTCCAACCGAATTCCGAATTGGACATTGGACAAAATCGGAATTCCGAAGATTCAAGTTCCGATTGACACCACTACTAAAGACCTGTACCACCAAATGACGCTTTGATGCGAATATGTTCGGCATTTTCCACCTATTAAATCTTAATGGTGTTACATTCCGTTATCGATTAACTAGTTTATTTATGCGTCGTACATACAACGCAGTGTGCGGAAATTTAGGTCCGGTATTTGTCAATTGTAAATGTCTTACACAGTGCCCGTACGATTAAAAATAGCACCCAACTAGGGTTACCCGCGTGCTCCGCAACGCGAAGGGGGGATTTTTTGACCCGTGGGTATTGGGTTGGTCTGTGTCGATTTGGTTGGTAGATATCCATTTCGTTCGATTGCTTTTTGACGGCCAAGCATTTTGTAAGAAAACAAAAATATACATCGCATCGAGGTGCCCGTGTCGTATTATCATGCGTTCTACTTTAGAATGATCGAAAACTGGCGTGAAGTCTTTTGAGGGCCATCGATGAATTTCGCTAAAAATGACAATGTAATGGTTTGGAACATTTACATTTTTAAGAATACTGTTGCTCATCATGCAAAAATAAAGACTGAACCTTGGACAGAATTGAATGCTCTTTCCAACGGTGCCATTTTTAATTGCCAGAGATACCAGATCATTGAGCAAAACCCGTGTGATTAATTAAGTGGCAAAAAATTGACAAACACCATTTTCTCCTGTGATTTGCACCACCTTGATTTGGATCAATCAGCTTTTCACAATTTTCTCATGAGAGACGGTACATTTCTCTTGCCAACAGGCGTTGTTCCAACTCGCTCCGTTTAACGGTCACCTAAAAATAAAATCAATTCCAAAATCCGTCCAAAACGTCAATTTTCCACATAAAAGTGCCCTCCTCGGTGCACGTGGCGCGTGCCATCCTCTGCATTGCACACCATTCAATAGCCCGTTCAATTCTGCACACGATGCTGTTTTCCCCGTGCCGGTCGGACCCCTGGTCACCAAGATATTGCACGGGAACTGGACCCGTGTCGGCCAAAATTAGCCGTTTTCGCCCGATTTCGCACGCCGATTTATACATGTAAAGTCTATGACGCGAATTTGCACTTTTTGAGCACGCGCCACGCGCTCCCTATCAATCCGATCGAGCTGAGACCCCTCAAAGGCACGTCGCGCATCCTTGATCTATAAGTTGTGCAAATTTCACCGGGCTAGGTGCAACGGTCTGGCCTGTAGTCCACGCAAAGCACCACCAAGTCGGGACCTCGGTAACGGACAGACGCACCCTCCTCAAATAGTAATATAGACAAGCGGCTCCGCCACTTGCTTTGCTGCGTGGTAGGAAAAAATTGCGGCACCAGCCAATTTGCTTTCGAATGGTGTTCGATTCAAATCGATGTGTCGTCTAGAAGCATAGATATGGACGGAAATGTGAAGAGAATTAAAAAAGAACTGTTCTGGGGGCTTTGTTGGATAAAATTTGGCTGATACGGGGTCAAGGCGGGTCAAAGGGATCAGTTCCGGTCACTTTGGGTCAGGCCAGGTCACATATGTAGGTCACCTCTCGTTCGATGGGATCAGCCCGGGCCACTGTTCTACTTTTACCTCCACCACTATTTACCCCTACCACTACCCCTACCCCTACCACTACCCCTACCACTACCCTTACCACTACCCCTACCACTACCACTACCCCTACCCCTACCCCTACCCCTACCCCTACCACTACCACTACAGCTACCCCTACCACTACTACTACCCATTGATGAAATACTAGGACTTACTCCACAAGGAGATCGAATGGGTCGGAGCGCTTTCAATATGTATTATACATATCGTCGTCAGCGAATCAATAACGGGTCGAATCGAGTCGGGTATCGAAGAGGTTCGGGAGCTGCGCGGCAGAGCGATCACATACTATTCGAATTATGCATTAAAGAGAATAAAAAACACGTGAGAACAATCATGATACACTAGCTGCTAAAATGAATTAAAATGAATTAAAATGAGACAGATCGTGAGCTGGGCACGAGACTCCGAGAACACCGGGAGAGCTGGACTGGAGCAGTCCGCTCGAGAGCCAATACATCGGCCTTCAGTACCCATAGAGACTGCTCACCTGCTTTCGATGCCATCAAGATCTTGAATCGAGCCAGTCATCACCAGATGCGACTTCTCCTGGAATCGGCCTATATTCGGACTGTTGGTCGGCGTGAAGCCGTCCTGGTGTCGCCGAATGACGCAAACGTGAACAGGAACTCGGGTGCCCTGCTGCATGACCGCTGGCTGCCGATAATCCGCCGTTTTTGTCAGTAGTGTTTACGTCTAGTTCGGCCTTTGTATGTATTTATATTTGTACTCGTCCTTTTACAGTTTTTGCACTCATTTTTGTATAGTCTTTTCTACTCAGTCTTTATCACCATAGGTATCCTGTTTCCCCCCCCCCCTTTATTGTATTTTTATACGTGCCATTTATGCATTTTAGCACCCCATTTTAATTCATTTTAGCAGCTAGTGTATCATGATTGTTCTCACGTGTTTTTTATTCTCTTTAATGCATAATTCGAATAGTATGTGATCGCTCTGCCGCGCAGCTCCCGAACCTCTTCGATACCCGACTCGATTCGACCCGTTATTGATTCGCTGACGACGATATGTATAATACATATTGAAAGCGCTCCGACCCATTCGATCTCCTTGTGGAGTAAGTCCTAGTATTTCATCAATTTAATTCCATCTCCACATCATGTCATTACGTCACTACTACCCATACTCCTACCCCTACCACTACCCCTACTACTACTCCTACTACTACCCATACCACTACCACTACACCTACCCCTACCACTACTCCTACCACTACCCCTACCCCTACCCCTACCCCTACTCCTATCACTACCACTGCCCCTACCCCTACCGCTACCACTACCACTACATCTATCCCTACCCCTACCACTACTACTACCCATACTCCTACCCCTACCACTACCCCTACCACTACCCCTACCACTACCCCTACCACTACCCCTACCACTACCCCTACTACTACCTCTACCCCTACTGGCTACTACTACCCCTACCATTACTACTACACCTACCCGTACCACTACCGCATATTTACGTCTGGACAACGAGTTGCGGGGAAAAGTGTTGATTTTGTCGCAGTTTTAGGAGCCGGTGATT